AGGCGCATCCTGTAAAGCGCGCCTTCTGGCCCTATTAAATGCCACAGGCGAGCCCTTGAAACCAGGAAAAAGACTTGAGGTAAGCGTTTCCCCTACAGCAGCTGGCCTCCCTCCTCAGTCCTCCGGCATCGTGCTCGTTCATCTTAGGGCCTGCGTTTGCGGGGGAGGAAGCAGCCTAACTGCAGTTGCGGCGCACCTCGCCGCAGCTGGGATGCAAGCCAGCCTCACGTGTGAGCACAGGGAGGTTTCAACGATGCTACCATTACTGCATGCTCTACCTGAGTATACACCTATACAGCGCTTGTATTTGCTAGCAGGCTGCCTATCACGGGGGTGAATGCTGCTGTGCTAACTGCAAGCATACCACTCTAGATATCCTCTTCGCAGCATCCCAAGGCCCTCGGCACGCTGTTCCCAAAAAGCCTGGAAGATTGACGTCAGCTGCTTTTAGGAACTCTGACGAAGTTGGTTGGCCCGATTGCAGCCCTTGACCTCCACTGAGATTGCACCAAACGTTACTGGTTACCGTCCTTTTACTGTTCCCACGATAGTTAAACAATGATTACGCCTGAGATTCAGGATTTAAGGGCGAGAATATATGGTGTGTCACACTACATCGGGAAGACTTCCTGAACTGGTATGGCCCGAGACGGAAGCTGGTACCCTGGGGATCCATGCTTCGGGCTGCGAGAGTTCTGTACGAGGCAGGCACGCGTACGTGGACAGCTTGGCGTGCTTGTCGAAGTTCTTGAGTTATAAAAATTACCAAGTATGTAAATGAGTCATGGAAGCTGACAACTGGACGTCAAGCGCTTGGTCTTTCGACACAGCTCCCCACCAGTGTCAAGAAAAGCGTATGCAGCGGTCTGGTGGGTGTTGCGGGAACCAAAGCGCCTTGAAAAAGTCAAGCGGAATTTCGCAGGCTTTTTAATTGTTCCTTCCCTCAACATAACATCTTCCTTGTCGACGGCGACCTTGTGCATACCAGGCTGGTTCCTTCCCGCCAATCCGCTAATCATCTCCGCCCCGTTCTTTGCGGGGTTGTCTGGCGAGTGGCCACGGAGGGACAAAGTAGCTCGTTGCGGGGGCTGTACCTGTGTTTTTGATTTCCATCTTTCTAATATTACGCCGCAAGAAGCAAGAAACGCCGAATCCTCTGGCGGATAAACGGGCTCCTGGCTACCAGTCCTACCGCGCCCCGATTGTGCTGAGCGTTTCGATGCCAGTTTGGATTTCTTTTTTGAGGTCCAAAAAGTAGTGATAGAAGTATTTGTACTTCTGCTTAGCCTTTTTTGGTTCGCAGCGGCGTCCTGCGGGAGACCCAGCGTTGTTTTCCATCCCCGTTTTCCTGCTGTGCACTTGCGTGTCTCTCTTGGAGGGCTTGAGGAGGCCAAGCCCAACATCCTTTGGAAGAGCCGATAAGTCCGATTCCTGGAAGCATTTTGGCTTCCTGCGCGTGTTCTGTTATTCGGTCAGTGCACCTGAAGTTGCCCTCATTCGGCGAGGAACTGAGCGGGTGAACATGCGATCCACTGCCTCGCCTGCCGTACTGTTACTGGTGCTCTTGCTCAGTTGGGAAGCTCCACAGGCGAGGGCGGCTGTATCACCACAGGATGCAGTGACTACGAGTGTGGAGCAGTTGCCCGAGGTGAAACCTCAAGGGGGTGGATCGTCGCTCGGCGTTGGGCATGATGCCGAAGGTGCGCTACAGGGTGGCCCGGACGGGATGCCGTTGGATGATGGGGTGCATAAGGCGGACTTTCGGCCTGGCGTGCGGGGTCGGAAGTCCGTGCTGACGGCTCTGTTGCTTATTGCGGGGTATTTGCTGGCTCACATTATGAGCAGGCATGAACTGTGGCCCTCTGCGCTGCTTGACCCCGGGCCGTTGAACTTGCCTGAGAACGCTCACCTTGCGAGCGCCGCGGCTGTAACAGGAGTGCTGCTCTCTGGACTGGGTGAACTGCTGCAGTCTGCCTTGTCGAGGCGTAAGGGGCACCTGAATTCGCCCCAACAGAGAAGAGGAATGCTTCAGATGGTCTTGGCAGGGTTTCTGTACTTCTCGTGCATTGGTGCTGCCGTCTCCTTGGGGCCACTTGCCGCATTGCCCCAGCTACACGCCCAAATCATCAGTTTGGCAGCTGCAGGGCTCTTTTTCTGGGGGGGGGCTCTGTACTTCGATCCTTTCGGGCTGGTCAATTAGTTCCCGAGGAGACAAGAAGTAGCAGTTCCTCTCCGTCTATGCCGATTGAAGTGCTGTTTCCTTCTCATGTGACGACTGCAACGTCAAAGCATATTTATTGTGTAGAAACAAAACAAGAACCCCCCCTCCCCCCCGAAAACTGTACAGATTGGGAATAAGAGTTGTCCTTATTTTTATAAATTGTTGTGGCATATTTGCATTTACGAAATGTTTTCAACTGTCCGGCCTTTGAAGCCATTGTGTACTAAGTTTTGGTGTTCCCGTGGTGGCGCAGACGCTGCTGACGCGTGCAGACGCATATGCGAAAGAAGCGACATGCTCCTCCGTACTGTGCGCTCTTTGCGTGGAAGTTAAATCCCGTTTTCTAATAGAGTTGGCATAGCGAGCCGGGGAGAGGCATTGCTTCCCTCTTCCGTGAAGTGGCCCCGTTCCTTTGTAACGCAGGACTGCCGATTGTATTCGTTCGTATTGC